GGGGGAAAGAGGCAAATTGGAGAGCGACCTAGTTTCAGAATTTACATAGGTAGTAGAGTAGTGGCGAGTACCGGCCACAGCCTCGGTTAATTGGGGCGCAGGGTGATCTTAACCGTTGCTACTTGAAGGCCGATTCCTTCCTCGATGGATATGGCGTGTTGTGAGCCTTGGGACACACATTCCAACAGATTGAGGAAAATGTCATACAAGAGGGGTTGAAACGGACCCAAATTCATCCGTTTAAAGGCAGTTGATCATTTAATCAGTGTAATATCAACTATGATTGGGTACGTCCCTTATTAGTGACGTTGGAAGTAGACATTTACGCCTCTTCGTTCGATGATGATGGACCCAGGGCCCCCTAACCAGAATAATTTTCGAGTGTCGGTGAATGCGGCCACCTAACCCAATCGGGGAAGGTAATCACTAGTTTAGGGTGGACACGATTAATTGCTGAACTCCTCAAGAAGCCCGTTCGCTGGCACTCCCCGTCACCCATGTCGATGCTGGTCAACTCCCTCATTGACAGGTTCGAGCAGGGCCCCGGGCGCCTGCTGGCGCCGCCGCTGACGCCGGCGACGGCGCAACTAGCGCCCGCCGCCACCATCGACGATCCGGGCCTCATGAAGCTATTAGGGGTGGAGCGGTTCCCGCTCGGCGAGGAGGCGTACATCGAGACCATCCGCCTCCGCCAGGAGATCGAGCGCCGCAAACAGGAGGAGCTCCGCCGCCAATTGGCCGACAAGAACCTCGAGATCATCCGCATGGCGATGGCGGCGCACATCCCGCCCCACCTCATCCCGGTGATGTGTGTCAATCCCGACGAGTACCACCGGACGTTGCTTCAGCAGCTGGCGCTGGCGCTGGCCGCTGGCGCTAGTGGTACTCCGGTACCGCCGCCGATGATGGTGCCCATAATTCACCCCCAGGCCCCGGCGCCAGGAGCGCCGCCGTACGCGCCATTTGCGCCACCAGCGCTGCCCACTAAGCGCCTGGCGTCGGCGATGTACCACCAGGACCACCTCAACGTCAACCCCACCCTCCCCATTCACTATAGATTCGGCGAAGGACGCCCCCATTCGCCGGCGAAGCGAGGAGCGGTAGCACTGGCGCAATTGCTGGCGCCATCGTTCTCAGTACGACCACCAATGACGCCACAACAACAGACCCAGCGCTCGCGGCGGTCGCTGGGCGCCTCGCACCAGCGCACGGCGCTGGTGCCCGACGGCTCTCAGCTCACTCTGCCCAACATCACCAAGACCCTCCAGGTAAAGCCACTGCCAGCGCAGCCGCCGGCGAAGAACAAGCCACCACCGACTCAGGAGCTGATGACGCTGTTCCAACACATTATACAATTCCACCACTGGAAGCCGGGCGACAAGCTGCCGCCAAATAACACCAAGAGTCCGGCGCCAGGAAGGGCGCCGTCGACGCTCTCCGCGGTGAGCGCCACCAGCGGCACCAGCGCTGCCAGCGGCGCGGCGCCGGCGTCCCACCTGCCGTCAGACAACTCGACGGCGCCGGCGTCGCCCGACACCCAGGAGAACTCCCCCCAGCATATCAACCCCCACGCGCCGCCGGCGCTGCTGACGCCGAGAGAACCAAGCCACAAGCGGTACAAGCTGGAGGTGGTCCGCGACAGCGACGACGAGACCATCGACGACACCACCGAGATGTCGCCGCAGCAGGCGCCGCCGGCGAAGTTCCCCCACGACATCATGAGCTAGCCGCTCTCCATTTATATAGAACACCCTCACGTCATTATTTATATAGTTATACCCATCGCTGACTCAGACGTCCTGTAATTGAATTCCTCCAACGGTAATAATTGAGGTGATAATTAAATTCAAGACAACTTTACTTACTTGGTGTTGCCATACTCCAATCGATGATTGGTTATTTGAAAATTCATAAACCGATGGATGAGAAATTCTCCTGGTAAAGCGTAGTGTAGACTCATACAATGTTGTTGTCAACGATCGCACTCACGGTTTAGCTGAATTCAACTTTATAGCCATTCAGTTGGAGTACGATATTAAGCCGCACAAATGACATCGGTATACTGATTCCTGATTTGGAATTGAAGGTAAGGTGAACATCATGGTTCGTGTGGAAGATGGTTGGGGTCAATTTGTGGAATTCTCGCGATTCCAGACAATATCGTCAACTTTGACTTTAAAGTTATTAGTTGAGAGTCCACCTCACATAAACAAAACATGAGACATCACAATAGCCCCATGACGACTCAATTGAGGCTAATTGAACTAGCATTGTTTGGTGTATATCCTCTATGAGCATTCAGTGATACGTGTCTCACTTTGCGCACAATTGCTCGAAGCACAATTGCATTACACTAAGGCCGATACCACAATATAAGAATCAAACAATTGCAACTATCAGAAATCCAACTCCCTTATCTATTTCAAATTCACTTAGTCCTAATTTACCCTACGGTGACCAGTACACGTCCGCGCGAAAAAACATCACCTTTTGGTTGCCCACGCCATAATGTCAGAAGTAAGTACATCCACACCACCGCCATGCCAGCACCGCCACTAACTCAATAGGTGAAACGAACGATTCGCGTGATCACGGAACAGCTGATCATGAAGGACGTTGCCCCCGTCGAGGGCTTCCCCATGAGACAGTGGAGCATCAGCATCGTCATGCTCAACGACAAGGGCGACGAAGTGCCCGCCAACATCCTCGACAAAGTGACCTACCACCTCCACCCGACGTTTCAAAATCCCGTGCGGGCGGTGAAACAACCCCCGTTCAAGGTGTCGGAACAAGGGTGGGGTGAGTTCGACATCCCCATCTCCCTCCACCTCTTGGGGTTGCCGGGAAAGCTGGGCGAACGCAAGATCAGCCACGACTTGAACTTCGTCAAGGAACGCTACATCAACGACCACGAGATCTCGATCCCCGTGTCGCTGCTGAAGAACCCGGCGCTCAATAAGGCGCTCGCCGAACTGGGCGCGGTGCCGTTTGACGGCGACAACAAGCGCAAATTGGACCCTCAAGGGTCGGTTGCTGGTGGGGTGGCTAAGAAGCTGAAGCTGGGAGCGGCTGCCCCCGTAAAGGGGTCGGTGGACCTTGAGAAATTGGCGAACGGGTTGACCAAGCTTAAGGAAGATGACTTGATCGTCATCGTCCAGATGGTCACCGACAACCGCACCAACGAGATGAACATCAAAAACGACATCGACAACGGCGAGTTCACCATGGACTTGCTCACGTTGCCCGAAGGGCTCTTGAAGAGTTTATGGGACTACGTGAGAAAACACACCGAGTAAGAAAAAGAAAAATTACCTCAACAATCAGAGATATATAATGAAGCCCCCACCTCTAGTGAGAATAAAGATATGACCTGCTAACTAGCTCTACTAGTAACATTTTCAATTGTTAACCTCAGCTCTGGAAAATACTTCTCTTCTGTGGATTAAACAATGAGTATTTTTGTTCTTGTTGAATTAGTTTCTGATAGACAGCATTCTTAAAACACATAGAGCCATGTCACTATGTAAGAAGGACCAAATTCCGTGAACTTCATGCTTATCAAATTTAATTGTCTCAACATAGATAATAGCATTTGCTGGATTTAACTCAATTGAGAGTTTTCAGTATTTCTTGGGCCTGAAGAGACGTTTACATGGTAATATTGAGTGATAGTCTTTTCGCACCTAGGTCACTGTAAAGAAACCTATACGGTAATTTCGAGCGTGGCCAATCAGACGAGAATCCCATGGTGATCACGTGTTCCTTTCTAAATGCTAACTATAACTCAACTAATAGACCAGTGAACCTATTTTGTGTGCAATTTTACTTGCTACTAACTGGAGCACCTTAAGTCCATCTTAGGGTGCGTGACAGCGGACGCACCCTCGATGCTGCAGACTGTCTGTGGGAGTCTTCGCGTCGTCTGGGGTAAAGTGCGGCTATGCGCATCTCGGCTTCGTGTTGGCACGTTAAGTAGAGAATGTTATGGCTTAGGGAAATGAGTAAAGACCAAACCACTGAACTTAAGGTAGAGGAAAGCTTCATATACCTCTTAAATATGAGCAAGATTACTATTATTAAGGCGAATTGCGTTGGACTTGAATGGTGTGGTGAGAGGTGCATGTGGTGCAAAAAAGTGGCAACTGGTGGAGGCGCTCAGCTTACCCCTTTTGTTTTAAAAAGATCTTTCAATATTAGGGCCATGGTTAAACGGAGTAGACGTCCGAAACTCTCTCTCTGGTCGCGGGAGCCACAATCACGTCTAGTCGTACTTGTAGAGAGAATCAATAAAGCCGAGACACCAAAATATCTAAAGATTATCAGAGAGGTCTTAACCCCAGGTTTGCATAGAGCCATGCCTAATTTGTTCCCCTTAAAGAGCGGCCTAACGCTTCGCTCGCAAAGCTCAGCACGCCACCGCAGATAGCCCCATCACTACACAATGGCTTCCTTTGATGACGACAGCGGGAATGAAACCTTCCATACTTCCAATTGTTCGCTAGATGCTCTGGCATCACTGTCACTGAATGATACCATTACCCTCCCTGCTCATTCCACAGTCGCTACTGGGGTCATCTCCGAGATCCACATTAAAGACTTGGATCGTTTCCGTACGTGTGAAATCCAACTTTACAAGGGCATTAGCTTCCACTCAGGTGATGATATTCGTGGTATCTACCCCGTGTTTCGCTTTGTGTACGGACGAGTCTCTAAGGAGCCAGTGACCCTTCGCAAGAAGACATCAGTGGGCTCAGCACGGTTCTCCTTGGTCAATACCGGCAACAACGCCCATTGTCACGAAATTTTTGGGCCCCTGATTGCATTTGAACGCAAGATTACCCGCCAAGGGCCTCGCTTCAGAGCTTTCTCACGCTGGGGCGACCCCCTCGAAAACGGCTATAGAGTGTGGACGAGGATGCTTCGTCACTTCCGTATTGACCTCAATGGCGTCGATTACTTTTCCCTGAACGATGTCGACAATCTTCTTGATGGCTGGTGCCAGCAAGCCAAAGACTACTTTGAAAAATGCACCAAATTGTCTCTGCTGGCACCAAAGTTCGAAGAGCTCAACCAGCGCCTTTCGCAAGAGAGAGTCCACATGGCGGAACTCATTCGACTGAGAGGCAGCATTTGTCAAAACCCCCAAGTCTCAAAATTGGTGAAGGGTTTGGTCGAGCTCAAACTTAGGTGGGCGTGGTGTACTGTAGATCGCAGCGAAGAAATGGTCATGAACACGGCATCGCTTGAATCAGAGTTGAAAGCAATTCCTGCTAAGGTCGAACCTCGTACCTCTCCAACTGGTGAGGGTGACGCTGGAGGAGATGCAACTGACTCGTCTAGCAGCATCAGAAGCGGGGACATGAAGAAGTGCATCCCCCATCTCCAGGCGACACTCGACGAGATTGTCGCCAATTATACCGATGAGTGGTATATCAGTTCGTATTATGCCGAAGCAATTTGCCCTCGCGAGAACAGCGGTCTTTTGGAGACAGATACCATGCAAAAGACGTCGTCAGAGAGTAACAAACTCTGGCAGAAACTCAACCATTTGAAAGGCCTGCGTCGCTACGAGGAAGCCGTCGAGTATCTCAACGCCTTCGACACGTCCGCCGACAAGTTGCGCGCTATAGTGGTCGAGTTGTACCAATGCAAACAGGAGATTGACATGGAAGACCAACGCAGATCTCAGTTAGAAAAGCAAGCGAGCGACAACTTTAATGCGTATCTTGGCGTACACCACTGGCAAGGTGAGTTGGCGTTCGCTGGTGGCGGCGAGGCGTTGCTGATTCGGTGCGGTGAAGCAAACGGCGTATTAGAGGATATCTCTGTCCTCGAACCGAAATTGCAGCAATACGTCAAAGTATTGCTGCAGTTAGCCATTCGAGACCTCAGCACCTCTGCCTTTGTGGTCTACGATGAGATCGACATGTGTGTGGACCTTACGTTAAGAAAGAGTTTATGGCAGGCGGTGGTGGCGCGTGCTAACCCAGAGAGATCGACGGTGATTTTATCCGATACTAACATTGGCCAAGCCGAGGTCGAGCTGTGGTCGACTAAAGCCCACATCTGTTATCACAACGAGTAATTTTCGAATCAATGGGTTAAGCACAATTGACGAGCTGCAAACAAGCGATGTTTAATTTCTTCACTTGCGCGAGTCTCAGTCTGGTAATTGAGATTGATAGCAGAACATTTTAGGGAAATATTTTAGTTTTTAATAGCACACATTTACCAATAAGTTGACTCAATTGGGGTGATTTTGTGGCATGTGGCAAACGAATCGGGCTTCGATGGCTCCTATTTTGCTTTTTGGGATAATGCATATAGCCTCTTGCTCTGGTAGCTGTGGAACCTAGTTCTACGTGGGAAATTCCAGAATTATGGGTCGTTAAATTAGATCATCATGCGTTATATACCATTCAGAGATTCGGCCGGGGGTCCAACTGCCTGAACACGGTGTCGATCGCCAGCGCCTTCATCGCGTTGCCCTTCACCTTCAACTTGCCGCTCATAAACAACTCTTGCCCGCTCAGCTCGCCGGTGACAAGCTTAACAAAGTCGATGTCGGTCAACAACAACTGGACGTCGTTGGGGGGCACTTCGGCCACTTTTTCCACCGTGCCCTGGTTCTTCAACTCTAGTAACCAGCTCTGGGTCTTGCCCGTAGTGTTTTTAAGGGTGATGACGATCACCGCCTTCACCCCGTTGACCGCTTTCTGGCGAAGGGTGTCATCTCTAAGCGCCGTGTACAACAACTCGAACGAGGGGCCCGCCTCGAACCCGTCAGCAGCTAATCCAGACATTGAGGTAAGGTTTCGAGCAAAATACGCTTTGGCGGCGGTTTATATAGTCACCGCCATGTGATAATGTGGGGGCAGGGAATCTCCGATTCGGACCTGCACACAGACCCCCTGCACGTTCACATGGAGGGACAGGCGCCCGTTGCTTTAGCAAACACCATCATCGTCACCGTACGCGCGGTGCGCCGGGACCACTTATGTAACCGTTTACCTAAGCACCCCCATCCGAAAGTCGCATCGTGCGGCGGGACTAGTGTAGAGGGGCCTATTGTCTGTGATCCATGGAGGCGTTCGAGGCGTGGATCAACCACGATGACGACAACACCCACTCCAAGTCGTTCATATGTCCCCAGATCACCGTCCAGGAGCTGAGCGTGTTCGGGAGAGGTTTATTCGCCCTCGAAGATCTCGATAAACCCCAGCTCATCATCCGCATCCCCCACCGACTTTTAGTCAATTTCACCACGGTGGTCAAACACATATGTCGGTATATCCCCCACGTCGACTTTGACCAGCATCCGTTGTACGCGTCGATCAACCGGGCGTACGAGCCGCCCGAGCTCAGCGACGACGCCGCCGCCCGCTTCTATCGCCAGCTTGATATCGCCACTTTGGAAGCGCTCCTGCTGTTCCAAGTGGTGCTGTTATTTCTTATCGTCGAGCTGAGTCGGCCCCACCTGGTGTGGCAGCCGTTTTTGGCGATGCTCCCCCAGTTGTCGGACTTTGACGCGGTACCCTTGGTGTGGACGATAAGGGATAACCAGCCTCAGTGGCACAAGCGGCTACCGCCTTCGGCCCAGGCTCATGCCGCTAAAGTGGAGGCAAGGTTTGACGAGGATTGGCAGGTGGTGTCAAAGCTTACCTCCCAACGTGGCTATACCATTCAAAAGCTCGAGTACTTGCGGTACTGGATGTGTATCAACTCTCGTTGTCTTTACATGGACATCCCTCAGGGCACAACCACTGCTGATAACTTCACGTTGGCTCCTTACGTCGATTTCATCAATCATACTGACAGCGATCAGTGCCGGCTCAAAATCGACGGTAAAGGGTTTCAAGTGTTCACATCCACCCCATACAAAAAGGGCGACCAGCTATTCTTCAGCTATGGTCCCCACTCCAACGAGTTCTTGATGTGTGAGTACGGGTTTATCACCCCGACAAACAAGTGGAACACGCTCGATATCACCCACCACATCCTACCCGAGGTGAGTCTGCGCCCAGCATGGAAGGAATGGCTTCAGGATAACGACTATTGGGGAGAATATACCATTAGTTCCGATGGAGCAGCATCTTTCCGCACGGAGATGGCGTTAGCAGTGGTACAGGAGCCTCACCCAGAGCAGCTGCGCCGGCTTCAGGCATTTGTCAGTGGGTACACCGACGGAGCAGTGTACGAAAGGTATACTCACAGACGGCTTCGCGAGGTCCTTGAGCTGGTGATCTCGGCGGCGACAACCGAGTTGGAAAAGCCCCCGTTGCCGGGTTTTGCTGGAGACTGTGTTAAACAGATATGGCAGGACCAGTGGGAGATTGCCAAAACGGCGTTGACTCAATTGAAGAAGTAAAATTGTCATTCATCTTTCATTCGTCTTTCTTTTCATATTTGCATATCTTAATCCACAATCTATAGAGATTAGCTATTTGTTTTTGTTTCACATTTAGTCGCAATATCAATCTTGAGACAGTATCATGATGCTTTGAGACGTGCGCCCCGATGATGTGATCGCGCGCAAGACACTATACTCGAAGACCATCCAAATCCCGCGCCATGGTCGAGGATCCAGTGACGTTCGACTATCTCCCATTAGAGATACAGCGTCACGTCTTATGGTTTCTCGACGTGCCCCTGGTCTGTCGGGCGTGCGTGGCGTTCGCTGCCTCGAGAGGAGCACAGGCCGCCGCCGATATCCTCGCTGATGAGGTGGTGGAAGTATGCCCCACGTCGCTACCGGGGAGTGAGGACGATATTGACTTTGCATTACTCGCTCAGCTACCTCCGTGCAAGGTGTTTGTGAATGTTTCCTTCGGCCGATGGCGGGGCGTCGTGGCTCGCCTCAACCAGGTGAAATCTTTCAGGCTGCTCGAAGTGACCCTCGACGGCGACTATGACCCACTTTCAGGCAACTTCCGATTTCTTCGACACCCGATTGACAAGCTCAATCTCAAGTATCTCACCATTCTGGACTACGACATCCCGAATTGCGTGAAGCTGTTGACAGTCCACTCGTGCGAGGTAGCATATCTGTTCATGAGGCATTTGGAGAACCTTGAGACTTTGAGTATACTGGGAATGGCGTTTCCTCCATCGTTACCTGAACTGCTAGTTGACGTCACCCTTCCTGACGATTGGGCGATAACCTTTGACCCGTTCTGTTTACCGAACTTAACCGCTACCAACATTGCAATAAGTGGCGATCTTTGCTGGCAAAAAATGACAAAGCTAACCAATTATTTTATCCCCTGTGAACTGAAATTGACTGAGTTGAAACACATCGTTGTCGGTGACAAGCGCGGGTTGGACTCGTTCAAGCTGTCTAAATGCCCTAATCTCGAGACGGTGTGGGTAAGCCGTTCCACCTTCCTTCATCCCTGGGATACCGACGCCCTGGTTCTATTCACTGAGGCGCAAATGGCAAAACTTACTGAGTTGATGCTATTTGACTACCACATATCTGACTTTACTCCATTTTCACTGCTTAAAGTGGCGCGGGTGATCTTGAATGAGCCTCTCACCGAAAATCTCCCTTTGCCGCCCACTCTAACCGATTTTGAGATCGACACCGCGTATCCCATCGAGGGAATTCCACCCCAATTGAAGTCGTTACTTGTCATCAACCTAAACGAAAACGACAAGAGCGACGTGGTTATTGATGCCCCCAACATTCGCAAGTTGGTTTGGTGCAACTACCACAACCTCACGCTCAAGTGTCCAAGACTTACCGATTTCTCAGTATCGACAGTGACGGGCAAGATGGAGTTGGATGCTCCCAATTTAGTAAAGCTCGACTTTCAGCCGTTCGACCAATACTATCCGTTTGAAAAACATCCATTGTTATCAACCTTAGATTTACATGGCGACACCTGGAAGGATATAGTGGTACCGCATCCTCTACAGTCACTCGTGTTGAATGACGTCGTACTAGAGACTCTCGAGGTTGACGCCAAAAGGGTTGAGATAGTCGACAGTATTATGACCGGTCGAGTTATTATCAAAGCGGACCTGGTGTATACGGACATTGCGATGCATGATGCGGACGTGAGTATAGATTGCCGGATCCTAGAGACGCCTATCATGTACCCGGTGAGCTATACTGGGGTGGAACAACTCACCCTTCTCGAAAGCGATGACCCCGTCGAATGCGACTTTTTCGAAAACTTCACTAAGCTCACTCACCTTGAGTTGCAGTCGTTGAAGATTGAGTGTTCCCAGCTTTCTCCATTGGTGATTCCGGCATCGGTGAAATCATTGACGTTGGTGAATTGCACCAGTGATGAGTTCTGGTTTCACTTTGAGGATGAAACCCAACTTGAATATTTGGGAATAACTTACTGGAATAACAGCGATGACGATACAAGCAAAGAAGAAATAAACGTCGCCTACTTCACCCAGGAGACGCTTGGCTTGACGGCAATGCCCCCTTCATATTATTGCCCCGGGCTTAAAGGTGGCGTGGTGACTCAATTCAAACGGCCTCGCATCGAGATGGCATGAGCTATGTTAGTTCACAGCTTGCGGGCTCTCACGATACCATATATGACGAAGCATGACACTTACAACTTAATGAGTAATGAATTACACTATCTTTTTCAGTAGTGGCGACACATCTTCGTAAGTCAATCACGAGACTTTATTGATTGCTGTCTCTCCCAGTCTAGAATCGATCGATTAATGAGTCTCTTGCACAAATTTCTCTATTTGCTCGTACCTACACTTACGTAACATCTTCGATCTGCAAATCCCGAGTTACACTAGGAAAGTTTGAAATCGGTGCATACTCAGGGGGGGGCAAACAGATAGCGCCATCAGTAGACGTATATAAGTGGGGCTTAAGTGCTTTCATTCCACGTTCTCCAACGTCCCAACCCACTCAATCTTCCGTCACTAACTTGCCTGAATTCCAAACTATCTTAGGCAAACTTCCTGGTGAAACCGAACGCCGCGACTTAACTGAGTTCATCAAGGGCGTTGAGAAGTTGCGCTCGGGATACATGGAGAGCTTCATGAAAGTGATGCGCCAGTGCAGACCGATTGGCAATGTTCTCACGATCCCCGAGGAATTCGGCGGGCATTTGGGGCCCAGCGCTGCCGAACTGGTCTCCGAGCGGCTGGTACCAGACGCTGCTGAAATCGACCGCTTAAACCGCCGACAACGAAGCTGAGCTCCAACGGAAGAAGCAAATCATCAAAGAGAAGTACATCGAAGCGATGCGAACCGCAGCCCCCAGCGAACATGGGAGACTTCAAGCTGAAGCCAATCAAGAGATACATGCGTTGATCTAGCTTTACGCAGGTAAAGTCAAGAGTTTTGTTCGTGAGGTTGAAGGAAGTAGCCCGCAAGCACTCCAAATTCTTGAGCAAAGCATGGCCGACATGGGCCGTGAGCAGCACAGAATGTTTACCAATTTCAACGCAAAGCTTGATCCATTGATCATTGCAGCATGCCGCAGCGTCCCGCCACCGATCATCGACGAGGCCATCGCCGTCCTCAACACGAGGTATCAATTCATGTTGTTCGAATCAAAACTTTAAATCAACTCGTATTAGTCTGACCAAAATCATCATATATTTTTAAACTTGATGAGACCATCCACCAACGGCTTTACTTTAGCCTTTTCGTCGGGTTTCTCTTTCAATAGCTGAGCCATTTGTGCGGGAGTGAGACTGGTCTGTCCCATCGTCCGATACAACTGTTCACACACTTCAAGCACCTGTTGGAGGTTAGCCTTCGCTTTGCTCAACTGGGAAAGCTGGGCCACCGTCTCGCTGGGCTCGTGGTTGCGGGTGATCTCGTCGCGGACGTCGTGGAGTTCTTGCTCCAACGCCACGATGGCGTTGTTCACCACCTGGGCATAGTACTGGAGCCGGGTCGTCTTGTCGTTGAGCAGAATTCCCGCCTCTTGAAGCTTGGCAAGGTGGGGTTGATGGACGAGTTCCTGGGTCATAAACTCCATCTCGGAAATCAAGTTGTTCACGGTGGCCATCGTCGGCGCCGACGGGTCGCCGGCGAGCCGTTTGTACACGTCGGGGTTGGCGGTGTCACCCACGAGCTGGACGAAGAGCTGGTCGAGGTACCCGGCGGGGTCGAATCGCGGGTCGTAGAACATCGACGTCATCGCGGCGGTGGTGTGGTGGAGAGTGGTGAGGTGTCTGGTAACCACCCGCCAACGCGCCCACCCTACACTAAAACTGTTGTTTACAAGAGAGAATTAGACCTTGAAAAGTGTTCTGATACTAGTTACAATTGATAATTTTTTCATTGATGCTTTGTTTAATGTATACGTGACGACTACTAGTTGTGAGTAGCAACATCACGTGCACTTGCCCACCGCCACCATAACATAGCAATTGTCGACGCCACCGACCGCCAAACACCACAATCACCACTTATAACATCTCCACTACCTATAAGCATTCATTTACACCTTTTAGGAAACGCTAGTTGTCGTCGCGTGCCGTATTACTAGCCCAGATCAGTTTCGCTACCAGCCCCATCAGATAAGGTAAGGGGTACCAGAATAACACGCTCACCGGGGATATCGCTTAGTCCAAACCATCTCTATTTATTCTAGTACTGGTTCAATCATCACTAAACTCTTCCAAAAGTCAATTGCTGCTGCTGGCGGGTGTCTCTGGTGTCATTGCTTATCCCCCGCCTGAGCCACCCCCGCACCCAGAATGACCACCTTGGGCGACCTCCCGCTAGAGATCCACATCCTCCTCCTCCGCCAGGTGCCCGACCTGGGTCTCAAGCTCACGCTGAAGTACTGGTATGCCCTCTACAACGACTTGTTCTACGACAAGATCGTCGCCAGCTTCGGCGAGGCCATCATCCCCGTCATCGTCAAGGTGTTGCCGTGGCTCAAAGTGTACATAAAGAGCATGGACGCCTTCCGCTTCCAGTGCCGCAAGATCCTCGCCGACTACCTGGGGCTCGAGGACGTCGACGACCCCGGTACCGCCAACCCCTTCCACTGCTGCTACGTTAAAGACCTGTGGCGCTACGTGTACCTGGTGCTCAAAAACAAGCGTTTATTTGCTAACCACGAGGACTACAACGTCGACATTGCCACCAACTACGTCTACCGCCACTTTGTCGAGGTGAACCAGCTGTATTTGTTGAGCTATAAGAAAGTGCTTTGGCTCGCCCCAGGAAAATACAACCTAAACATTGCCCTCGTGGTCAAACACGGGCTGGGCTTAGGTACCACCAAGTTCCAGATCCGCTACTTACAGAACGACGGCCTGGGCCAAGGGAGAATGGTGGAACAAACGTTTTTCCCTCCCATCAATATCAAGGATATCCTCCCCAAGAACCAGTTCTGCTTCCTCAAACTTGGCGAATTCGAGATTGCCCCCACCAGCAACAACTACGACGCCACCGGTACCTCCAAATCTAATATCCCCGACAACAAGCTCGTGCGGGTGAAGTTTGTCATGGAGGAGCTGGGGCTCTACCTCAAGCTGGGGTTCCTGGTGTTCTTTATCGACTTCTCGCAGCCAACGACGTTATTCAACGACTACGACTTGCTCTACTACCTGGTGGCCGAGACGAATTATAAATTCTTCGTCAATCTCCCCCTCAAAAACCTTTATCGTGCCATCGAGTACGTGCAAATGGGGTACCACGGCGACCAGCCAGGAGCGATTGAGGAGGAAAACGAGCACGACGAAGAAGATGAGAGCCTGTTCCAGCTCCGAGCAGCCCCGGTGGCCGCCGAAGTGAGAGCACGGATGGGGGGCGGGGCCCCTCCGCGGGACGGTATCCCCCGGCGAGAGTCGAGTGTGCGCCGCCGCCTGCGGACAATTCTGGACGCTACGCAGGATATCGCGTTCGAAGCGAGGGAGTTCGAGCAGGCGCTGAAGTATTACGGCCAGGGGGACCCCGGGTTGATCCCGGGAGAGTACGACTTGGAGTTTTTAAACGACAAGGAGATCGACGGTGAGCGGGCCGAGATCCGCAAGGTGACGTCGAACACGCGGCTTTTGCACTCACTGTGGCTGCTGCTGCTGCTCAACAACCTGCTCCACAGCGGCACCCCTCCGCCGGCGCGAGGGGAGTCGATCGAGGAGTTGGTCGAGCTTGGCCAGGACGTGCACGACTTATTGATTAAGTGTAAGCACCTGCCCGGGTTGATGACGTACGCCAATTTCTTCTTCAATAACCGCCACAAGAACCGCTACTTCAAGTTTAATACCGTGTACCAGTTGCGCCAGTTCATCAACCGGTTCGGCGACTTTGAGCTCGACTGGCAGGAAGTGACCCAGTCCCCCGTGTCCGAAGTGACCCAGCGCAAGTGTACCTACGACCGCGACGGGCTCAAGTGGAAGATCCCCACGTTGGGCGAGCTTTGACTTTGGTCTACACTGACATGGGATGAAATAAACGTGCATTGCAATTATCATCGAAGGGGAGTTATTCACCGTAGAATTAGATGGTCGAGGGTGGCTTGTTGTTTGGCATCAAACTTCTTCTTGGGCAGCGGCGGCTTCGCCAGCTTTTTGTCTTCCAGCTTCACCAGCGGCGCCGTCGACGACGCCACCGAGACGGTGTATTCGTTAATGGAGTTTTTCTTGTCAGACATGCTAGACAAAAGTCCGTGGGGAGGCGTCTGGCTTTTTATAGTGGTAGGCGATGGTCAGGATGGGTGGTGATGACAAATTCTGGTGGGGAAGGGAGGCACTGGTCAAGAGCACAAGCGTGCTGCACCCAGAGAACCTGAGGAGATGGCTACCAAGCTTTTTCAAGGGGCAAGAATCGGTCTCCCGATTTTGGTAATCGACACTGCACTCACTCATTTAAGCGTTCATTTTTAAATTGTATAATTTATTTGACGGTTGTAACTTGGCCCTAAACACGGCTGAATTCATTTACAGACAATGCACCCTATTGCTATATCTGGTAAGGCTTCTCGGAGTACTACCGCTCCCCAAAAATAATCGTAGCCAGCTGTATGTACATCAATATGTGCGTCACCGCGTACGGCTGGTGACAACTTTAGGAAATCAACGCTGCCGTTAAATTCTGGGTCCTAGAAGCCTTGGTTCAAATCAATCGCATTCAATAGATGTCTAAGCAACTCTCTCGAGTAGTCCCGTGTTCTTTCAACAGCTTGCTTAAGTTTAGATGGCGGGGGTGATTATTAATCATTGATAACACAATGCAGACAAGACTGCAGCCGAGGTAACGCTATACAAGAGGGCGATGACAAATCTAATAGATGGGAGGCGGGTGTGGTCGCATGGCTGCTGGTACCCGCAGGTTTAACGGCCGCCGAGCGTTTGGTGATTAATTACAACTGTTGATCGTTGACAAACAGAGCATTATATTGGTTGTAATACTAGTTGTAGTGAAGTCGTTTTAAAAATTAGATCACTGTGGCAATTATGTCCATGAGTTTTACAGTAGTTTGTGAATCATCTTCAGGCTGGTGAGTTTAGTTCTCGCGTTTGGTGTGAGTCATAGCAACGAGATGCTTGAAGCTAACTCCGAGGACAAATTAAGCTACGCTGAAGGTACGGAATCGCCAAGCCGTAATTGGTTTAAGCGCCGTTTGACTGAGTCTCCATTCCGCTTCACAGCATTTTGATTGCTTGAAAATTGATGAATAATACATTTGACAGGGAGCGCCCAAAAAAGTGAGCAGAATTACCATCAACTATAACGACCAGGAAATATTAGTTGACGCCCATAATCGTCTACATTATCGGTAGCCCTACCTCGGGGACGTACGCACGCCTGTCGCCCCGTCACGGCAGGTTCGAGAAACTTCTGAGAAAAATTTTTAGACGTCTATTTGGAATATGAACTAAAAAGAATCTGAGTTATCTATACCAGATTGCGTCGTTGGAGTGGGGTCCGCTCTCCTGAAGCGGCCAGAGGTACCTTGGTGACGATGCGAGGCAACTGGCCCGACCTCTCCAACTCCAGAAGCGTTTCCTCAGCATAGTTACGACCAAGGTGATAAATCTCCTCGAACTTGCCGAAATCCAACGTGGCAAAGTCCTCGATCGGCGGGCGCAAGTAGATGACGCCGGCGCTGTGTTTGGCCAACTCTAGCGCCCGCACCGAGGCCACGTACGCCAACCGCAACTGAATGTCGGCCATGTTAGGGACGTTGGGGTACTTGGAGAACGGGTTCCACCGGTTTAAGATCACCCAGAACCCCAGCAAGGTGTCACCATAGTTCTGAGGAGTGCGGTCGTCCACTGAGCCCACGTCGACGGCAATAATGTGTTTGGCTCCTTTTTTCTTCATCTCCATCACCGGCAAGTTATCCAAGTAGCCACCATCAAGCAACATACACCCTTTGTAAGCGATCGGAGGCAAAAGGCCTGCCAAAGACATCAGCGCCCGGATGAACCGCCACGAGTACCCGTCCTCGTGGATGTCCATCGTCGAGTTGGTGATGTTGGTCAGGTTGCAGAAGTAGCTGAGCCAGAAGTCCTCGATCTTGTAGTTGCCGAAGATCTTCCAGATCCCCCGGTTGAACTCGTAGCCAGTAGTGTACAGGGTTACCGGGTAGGTGAGGTCTAACGCCATCCGCCACAACGCCAGGATCCGCCGCGAAAACTGCTTGCACCGCCCGTAGATCAGCACCGCGTCGTAGTCCTTAGCGTAGAGACCACCGACAAACGACCCAATCAGGGTACCGCCAATCATATCCACGGGAATGCCATGTTTTTCGAGAGCGGTGACCACACCGACATGACTGATACCACGAGCACCACCACCGCCAAGCACTAACCCCACGGCTTCGTTGGCAAGGATACGTGCTAATCTCATGAAGTCGTCCTTGTGGGAGGCAGTTCCAGGAGCAATAAACGGCTCGGTAGGAGTGGTGATACCCTTAAACTTGGCAAACGAGTTGATCGCTTTAAGCTTCACCAGCTCAAGGGCGTTGCGTCGGCTGAGTTTCACGGCAAACTCGCCGATCACCAGCTTCTGTTTCTTCTTCGAGGGGCGCACGGGAATCACCATGTGGATGTGGTGGTGGTTGGTCACCCAGTGGCGCGGTTTAAGCCATTTCTGAGTGTGTCCTGGCGCCACGTACTTTTCTGGGTGCAAAAGACAGAGGTCGGCGCGAGCGGTGGTCTTCATGTTGAGGAGTGCCCGCTCGTACTCGCCAATATTGGCAGCGGTATAGTCGTCGTCGGCGTCAGCAATGAGGAGAATACAGTCGCCTTGCAGAATACAAGTGTGGGTCCAGTTCGATTTGAGGGTCAGATCACACACGTAGACGACGTGGTCGTACTCCTCTTCAAGGTAGGCGAAGTACCCTGAAAGCTTAAGCTCGGCGAGACGCTCGTCAAACGCGTGGCGACCAAGCTGGGTCAAGGCGAGTGCCTGGTCGAGGGCGATGACGTGGCGGCCGATCGCCTTAAGACTGGCAACAAGCTTATCGGCAAACTGCAGCACGGGGATCCCCAGCGTCGTCGGCATGATGGTGATCGTCTTGTAGTCGCAGGATATGGTGGCGGTGGTGTTGGAGAAGGCGTCGATCTCGATCTGCTTTTCCAGGTTGAGCAGCTTCTGGGCGACGATCCGCAGCACTTTCACCATGATCGACGGGTGCACCACCAGAATGATCTCAAATAAGGTTCTGGGGATTCTCGCCGTCTCCAGGTCACGCACTGCCACCAACGACGCCGTGCGCCGGCTCTTAGTGAGCACTTCGACCTCGCCAATCAGCTCGCCGTGGCCGTATTCGCCTATCACTTCGGCCTGGCCTTCGTCACGCAGCTTAGTGACGCGGAACCGGCCGGATAAAACCACGTGGAACCCGTTGGCAATGTCGCCCTCAGTGCAAAGGTACTGGCCAGCAGGGATATGGCACCACTCGAGGGCGTAGTCTATGGTCAAAAAGTTGGCCAGAAGCAACAGCTTGAGCTTCATGGCCACGGGTAGTTGGAGCATGTAGTACTTATCCATCAACTTGAAGTAGTTTTCTCTGGAGATCAGGGCCACCAAAGCGCCTTCGCTACCCGTTTGGATGGTAACCATCAGTCTGAAGCCAACCACAATGGAGATATAGCCCGCTAACCCGCCGGCGTTGACACTATAAAGCACTTTGCGCTTGTTGTGGTACAGCGTCGTGGTCTGTCCTTCCTGGACAATATCGACTTTACCATCAATGACATAGTATAACCCCGTGTCGAACGAATCTTGCTTCACCAACACTTTCTCAGGGGCCACGTACTTGATCTGGAGGTGTTCGGCCCACTTCTGTCTCATCTTGCGCCACTTATCCTCGGAGAACTCTTCGGGCTGCGGCAACGGCTTCTCCTCAAACTTGCTGCGCAAATACCCCGTGGGGTATACGGTGGTGGGGGTGTCCATCAGCGACGTCAGCGCCAAGTCAAACACCAGCGAGCTCCGCAGCAGCGTCTGCGAGCTCAGGTAGTCACGCGGCTTAGTCAAGGTTTCCCTGGTGACGCCCAACCGGTCGAAAATGGCGTCGACCACCGCCCACTTAAACGCCCTTTCCTCGGTCTCGTCGTCACTACCGAAATAACCCTTGTGGAGGTCTTCAAGTCTAAGGGCCAGGCTGGCCTCCAGCGGTGGGAGCAGTCCCACCAGTCCCCGGCGTTTCGGTGCCGTCATTTCCGGTTTCAACAGGAGCGGCACCGCACTAAGCAAATCCCCCAGAAACAGCGACTTATCACGGCTCAGATCCAACACCACGTACTTCAGCAGCTGTCTGAGCAATGGCGCCGGTACCGGTGGCTTTTGCGTGCGTGTGGGCACGAAGCGGTGGTCGTCATTAGTGGCAAGCCGTTCCACAAGCCCCAGGTATAAGTACAGCGGGAGCACTCTCTGGTCGCTTAAGCGGCTATTAAGCCTAATCTCAGCGTCCATAATCTCTCGTGTAAGCCCTAGGTAGTTGTGTATCGTCAGCATCGTCACTTTATAGAGCCGTGTGAGCACCATGGTGACGATATGGGAGGTCGCTTTCGGGTAGAGCGTCTGGATCCGGACAAATGCCAGTCTGGGAATAATGGCAATGGTGGCCGAAGTGTGGTGGTGTTTGGTTCGTGCCTTAGCCACGTATTTTGGGAGCAGCAGCGTCGGACCAAGGTCGGGCGAGGCGGCTAATCCAGGCGAGGGAGGAGCCATAGGAAACGGGAACCCTGGCGTCGTCGATTGCGTTTGGAACAAGTCCAACGTACTCACTAAGGGAGAAAGCGTCGCCCCTTGTTTTACTTCGTTGAGTAACTGGTACCGCTGGTTCCCCACCGTGACCACCTCGTCCTCCTCATAAGCGATATCATCGAGATTAGGCGCCTGGGTATACACTTGGAGGACGCCATCAACAACAATGGAGAACCCCACTTGCTCGTCAAGGTATAGCACTTCGTCTTCGCCCAATTTCTGGGTGGTCATGTTCTTGGTGAGCTCGTGGAACACCGGCGGCTCAAGGTAGCCGAACACCTTGATTGCGGCCAAAAATTCGTCCAAGTAGTTCAGCGTGCGCTTTATCCGCAGCTTCTTTGGTCCCACGTTCATTGGTTTAGCTGTGGGCTTAGCCATGGGCCCGTTACCCTCTTGAGGCTTTGTTTCCTTGGAATAGCCGGTGAGGTAAGTGTAGCGGAAGACGAAGTAGCACCCGGCCAAAATGACGACGAGGGTGCCGAGGACACGTGATAGGCGGAACAGGAACTCGAGGTCGACATCCTGGCTGAGAAGGCCGCGTATGCTCATGGGAGGTGAGGGGGGGCGTTGAGAGTGGCTGGTGAGAGAGAGAGAGAGTCGCGTGCTTTGGGAGATAAGGTGGGTTTGACAGGGCGGGGCTCGCACTGCGCGAGGTTAGATTCGCAGGAAATTCTATTAGCTGGAATTAGAGTTGAAGAAAGATCTGGAATGAAGTGATAGAAAACCACAATTGAGGTTTTCTAGGAACTCAGTTGCTTCGAGAGTATTATGAAAATTCAACGGTTGTGTAAGAATTGGGTGAGTCTGGTAGAGGAAGATGATATGGATCATTAGTTACGAGTATATTGAAGAAATCCCTGGACTTATATGATTGTTAGGTTAATTTCGATGTTAGTGGCTGAATTCCACTGACGTCATTTTGGCCATAGTAACCCAAATATCTCCAGATCAAGTTGGATCCAGACCATAAGCTCATACACTTTTATCAGTGAGTTAGTCGCCATCTCTTTGTCAATGTTTGTCATTGCTGCTTATTGCCACTGATACCTGAAGTCGAACCATGCTGGTTTCAAGTGGTAGGGGTCATTGCATTAACTCGAAACAAAACAAACTTGATCAAACTTCCTCAACATTTACGACTCATTGAACTACGGAATGTTTCCCTTGGAGGCGGTGGAAACTATACTCGGCATTGATGAAACGTTCAGCAGTTTACAAGCCCTCTTGCTATACTGTTGTCTCTATTAGGAGCGAATACGAGCGCTCCCTGGATTGAAGCTCAAACCTCAATTCATGACGCCACTCTACTCAATGGCTCTTCAGTGACGAACGCTTGGCATCGTCGATCTAATACTATCGTTTCCCGACTCAAAAATAAACCAAATTGTGGGGTGTCGTTATCGTCTACCATCGACCATTGTTTTGCAGACGCGCATGTCAGACGAGCGGCTGGTGGACTCCAAGTACCGGCGATGGCCCCCCGCCATGGACAACTTGTTGGTGGAGCTCCTCAGCCACGTCGTCCACTCGTTCCCTAAGGACGGCGACCCCGTGATGACGAAGGAGGCGTGGGTGTACGTGTGCAACCTGATGCGAGCCCGCAACCCCCAGGCGGTGTATCTGACGTATACCAAGTACCTGTGCACCCAGCACTTGTACAACGTCATCCAGTGGCGCTACCGGATGTGGCTCAAGCTCGCCACCTTCACCGTCGCCGACGCCCGTTATCGCTACCATTGGCACGCCGGTAAAGGCCGTTTCGTGGTGGAAGAGGGCTCCCCCGCCACGACCATCGACGACACCAACGTCCTCCACCACCTCGTCGCCACCCGCGAGCTTCTGCTACCCCAGTTCGACGAGTTCAACCGCATCCGCCTGCCCCAGGTGCTCATGGACTTGTTTGTCCTGGACAACTTGCGCTACATGCTGGTGTACCACAACGAGGTGTTCGACTTGCTCGTGCGGACCGACTACCGGTTCCAGTTGCCCCCCGAGATTGAGAGCTACCCTCCCTTTGACTACCCCGAAGCCAGACTCCCTTATAGCAAACCGCTTAAGCCCCGCCAGCGGCGAAAACACCCGACGCCGCCTGATCCTCCGGGCGATAAGGATGCCCCTCAGCCCGCCTCTAGCCCCCGGCCCCCATCACTGCCGCTCACGGCGGGCGCTTCGCCTAAAGCTACGTCTCATTCTCCAGCGGCAGCAGCAGCAGCAGCAGCAGCCTCCCCATCTCTGGTCGCGGTGCCGGCATCACGACTCCAGACGCCGCCGCCTGCGCTGGTGGTGCCCGCTCGTCCGGTGGCGCCTCCAGAAGCACCCCCAGAAGTGCCCCCGGAGGCGCCAATAATTGTGGATCCGGCGCTGGTGGTGGAAGCGGCGGCGGCGGCGGCGGCGCTGCTACCGGTGGTGGATCCGCTGGGGGCGCCGATCCCGCCAACACCAGTGTTTGTCCGTGACCGTAAGTGGTTTACCAAGCTTCTAGACCTCCACCGCACCGGCCACCTTGGCCTTGGCGAGGTTCATTTGGTGTGTGTCGGGGTCCGCGACGGCAAGATCCCCCTCTTTATGCTTAACGTACTTGATCAGCACTACTACCGTGACGCCCCTGCTCCCATGGTACAGTCCGACGACCAGATCGCCTACCACGTGCGCCAGTACATGCTCCCTATGCTTAACTTTTGATATTATTTGAGGCAGCGTGGGTTCTCAAGCGAATCTTGAGATCCGACGAAATCTACAATACAACCTACACTCGATGACTTGACAATAATCCTGATGAACGAAGACATTCCAGAACGATGACGCTCCAGCATTACACTCGGTGCGCTTCTCAAGGTTACAGGGTTATCAGAAAGCGAGTGTATCTCGAAACGCGAGAGAGAGTTACTCATTACTCGTCAAAGTAGCTCGTGCATTGATGAGTCTACTCATCGCCGTGATGGCACTTCTGCTCCAGTGAGCCTTATGAACTGTCGACATTGATAAGCAGTGACGAGCCCGAAGGTATCTACAATGGGTTTGTCGTTTGACACAATCTGAGGCCACATGATTGTCCTCACGATACAGTATATTTGCTTGCGAACAGATCAATGGCAATTATACGTGCTCATCGCCATTGTCTACAACAGCTTGAGGGTCTAACGTTAGTCTGATATGGTCTAAATGGGGGGTTCCGCGGGAACGGGTCCCCGGCCATACTTAGGCGTGCTCGAGGACTCATTGCTCGCGTCACCACCATCGCCGCACCCGCAGGTGGAGGTGGGGGTACTCGTCCATCCTCCGGTGGCCGTAGAGAATCACCGCCAACACGCACTCGAGCATCACCTGGTGGGCGTCGCGGGCGTTTTTTAGCCGGTACTTGGGGCTGACCTTGCCGAGGTACTCGTAGTGGATCTCCGCCAACGAGTAGGACGCCAATAGCCGGGTCAATTGCTGCTCCATGCGGTCGCAGATGAGGGGATCAAACTTGAATTGCCGCTGCAATTTGGCGAACGTGTACTGTAGGTCCAACGGGAAGTTCATGGTTGTTTTCTGAGAGCAATTGCAGCCCATGGCTTCCTCTATATAGCTGGGAGCGGCGCCGGGCCCATTTGGGTTAGTTGCTGACCCTTGATCACTGAGGGGTGATACGAATGGGCCCACGGGCGGGGCTGCGTAACCAATTTCACTCTACTAAATGCATAATGACCTTTGGTGGGATGGATCTATAGTAGGTGAAGTTGAGGATCAATTCATGGTCATGGGGGAGGCAATCCAAAGGTAGGGGTTTGGTCATCATACATCAACCCCGCAAGCTCAGATTTATCTCGTTGATACCACAAGTTCGAGTCCCGAGTATATCTTTTATTTGACATGTTTTTCCCCACATCGTAATTTAGACAGTTGGTTCACCACTTGGGAGCCCCCGTATCGACATAGATCACAGGGACGTAGCGGCTATTCATAATCCGGTCGCGAAGCGTCGGGGAACCCTTAGCACCTCCACCTAACAACGGGGTGCGATCACTGGCATCAGGTCGAGAAGACGCCCCGAGGCCCATGCACGGAAACCCTTTCATTTTTTTTGGTAACAGTTTATCTAGGTCTACGTGGTGGGGGGTGGCGACTTCTACTTATACCACCCCTTTCGGACCGGGGTCGGCCTGCGGTCACCGAGCATCACCTACGAAGCACAATAGGGCCGTCGTCATGCACCGGCGCTGTCAGTACTAATCGGCATGGAATATAGCCGCCGGTGCAGCCCAGGGTCCCAACGGCAGTGGCGGAAGGTGGTACAAGCGAGTAGGCACCAGTAAGGGACTATGCCACACAATATACAAAATCTTTATTTCTCAATCCTTAGGTAAAACTACTTGCATGGCTTTTAAACTCATGAGTAGGTGGTCAGTACTTTTGGTTCTTTTTGACTTTCTGGTTGTGGTCCCTGAGATTTTGAGGAAGGGGGGGTTTAGTGGTTTGTCTACTGGGGGACGACCGTTTAGGGTTTACACCGGTTTAGCCTTTTTGGGTTGCGCAACAAGCCAGATGCGAGCGAGATAGCCTAACGGCTCGTAAAATACAGCATAGGCGATGGGTTTCCCGAGGTGTGGTTAAGCTGGTAATAATGAGAACAATGGCCTGCACCGAAGCAAGGACGCCGCATGGCTGGCACCACCTCCGTGATGGTGGGGGCGCGTTACATCATCACTTACCTAATCTCTTCACGTGCACCAGGGCGCCAACCCTAACGTAGTCTGCGCGCGGCATCAAATTTTTCAACCCCTGGCCCCGGGTGCTCTTCTTCAGACATTAGTCGACACTTCATTTTACCAAGTTATTGGGAGACAACATGTCCAAGCTCACTTCGTCGCACGTCCGCGAAAACGTCAAGGAACTTCTTAAGTACTCGACCGAGACCAAGAAGAGAAACTTCTTGGAAACCGTCGAACTCCAAGTCGGTCTTAAGAACTACGACCCCCAAAGAGACAAGCGTTTCTCGGGTACCTTGAAGCTCCCCCAAGTTCCCAGACCCAACATGACCATCTGCATCTTCGGTGACGCCTTCGACGTCGACAGAGCCAAGTCGATTGGTGTTGACGCCATGTCGGTCGACGACTTGAAGAAGTTGAACAAGAACAAGAAGTTGATCAAGAAGTTGGCCAAGAAGTACAACGCTTTCGTTGCCTCGGAAGTGTTGATCAAGCAAATCCCCAGATTGCTCGGTCCCGGTTTGTCGAAGGCGGGTAAGTTCCCCACCCCCGTGTCGCACAACGACGACTTGTACGGTAAGGTTCAAGACGTCAAGTCCACCATCAAGTTCCAATTGAAGAAGGTGTTGTGCTTGGCCGTCGCCGTCGGCCACGTTGAGATGGAAGAAGACGTCATCGTCAACCAGATCTTGATGGCCGCCAACTTCTTGGTGTCGTTGTTGAAGAAGAACTGGCAAAACGTCGGTTCGTTGGTCATCAAGTCGACCATGGGCCCTTCGTTCAGAATCTACTAAGTGTATTCTAATAACATCCACTAATAGAAAGATTGTAGAACTCTTTGAGCGTCTATATTTGTATCAGATGTGACACATCGTCGAGGTACGAAGATCATACTCGATCGTACGGTTCCTGGCCTACCTCATCGAGACCAGAAGCAGTAAGAAGGTTGTAAACAACTAACTAAGATTCTATATAACTCCAACCCTACGGCGTGCTGTTACTTAACGTAAATCAATAAGTTTAAGCTAACTGCCTTTTATCTTACAACAAGGCATCAACGCAAAAGTGTGTTCTTGTTATCATCTCTTGCTCAGTTCCAGCATCAACGAAGCGTGTAGTTGATCTCATCTCTGTTTGGAACTGCGCGTGATCAAGCCAAGTAGTATTGCTTACGTCTTGATTAATGTTGAATCTATCGCTATAATAAACTAGTTCATTCCACCATCATCAAGAATTGATTTCTCTAGTAACTATAACGATTTTGATAATTTGCTCGAATCAATATCGCGACTGTTAAGAATAAAGAAACTCTTTGCAACAAGGTAGTAGGTGTTGGTGACCAGCTGTACACTGTCATCACTGGTATTATCTGAATTCTACCATTGATGCTATCGATAGTAACACCAATTCCTGGGCCACGTTAATCATATCTATGTCCATTATTCATTAGGCTAGAACTCGATATCTTTCGTTGTCTGCTTATCTTTGTCGTCAACTTCCTCCTCATCCACAGGGATCCCCCACGGCTCAATCTCAAACCGTTTACGGCCATTTTTGAACGCATACTCCAGCCGTTGCACCAACATCTCCCCTCTCTCGGAAAGTACCGGTACTTTATCAATGTGAACCAATCCGTGGGTCACTCGCTGGGGCTCTGATTTGTGTACCCGCTCAATCAACTGCGCCATATCGTGGGCAAACGGCTCGAGGCGGATGGCACCGTCAGCAAGCGACGAAATAAGCTGCGGTATCGGAGTTTCCTGGTAGAGGTCTAATGGCAACAGCACCATCACCACGACGTTATTGGCGTAATTCCTGGTAATCTCTCGTAAACCATGGATAAACGGCGTCACCAGAGTAAGCTGACACCACAGGGGAGGGTATATTGATGGATTAAGCAATGACGGCACCACCACGCGAATGACGATGTTAGGGTTTTCTGCCACCTTTCTCTCGATAATCTGCTTTATCTGCTTGACTAATTGAATCAGCAGTGCCAACGGAATATAGGAAATGTCAGCGGGTGTGGGAGCGGGGAGTAATTTCTCCGTCAAATCAAAAGTGTGGCGATAGTGCTCATAAGCGGAGTTATTATCGTCAGTTTCGGACTTGGCTTCGGTCTTAGACTGGTTTATCCCGTACCGCCAGGCAATCTTCATGTTGGCGTTGGTCACCAGCACTTTGTTGGCGTTGGCAAGCACTTGTTGCCGTTGTTGGTCTTTCTTCGAACCCTTGTATAAACCGGGCAAATCGCGGGCCCAGTGATGATTGAAACCAACGACGATACCGTGGCAGTTGACTGCTTTCAGTTCCAACCGGTTATGGATGATTCCCTGAGCGATAAACGCCCGTAAGAGCACCAGCAGGAAATCGGTGGTGCCCAGCTCTAACACGGCAAGCAGCGAGCCTAGCGGGATCCCCTGGTGGCGCAATAGCTTATCCACATCACTAGAACCGGTAGACACTGTCGGCTGGGACGTAGCGAGCGAGGGGCGTACGCTAGGGTTGGTTATAGAGGTGGCGCCAGGCCGAGACGGGGTGGGGAGATTTGCTGGTCCCCGGGCGATACCGGGCCCCCGAGCAATACCAGGGGTACGAGCGGGGTTGGTAGGTGGCCCTCGGCCCCCGATTAATGGATTTCGAGGCGTGGGCGGGGCACCACCGCCGCCAATGACTTCGGACCGTTTGCGGAACGACATGCCTCCTCCCTCATCGCACCGCGTCATCGTAAGTAGGGTGAGAGGGGGAGGTGATTGACGTTAAAGCTATAGATTGCTTGTGTTATATTTATGATTGGATTGGTTGGGAGTACTCCATGGTAAAATTGTTAATTTTTTTATTTTCATTTTGATCTGGTTAGTGTGAGTTTTTACGGAAATCTCACAGAAGAAGAGGGCAACATTCAACTATTCACCAGTTCGAACCTGAAATGCCGTCAATGTCAATCATGATTGAATTTTGGAGATGAATATGATTTAATTTTCTTTCGTTTGGATCGCAATGGTTAATCAAATTTACGGTCAATTAGATTTATGGTCAATGAAATTCATTGACACATATGATGGATTAGTGTTGATCAAATTCACCAAAGAAGACACTGATAGTCGAAACAAACTGTATTATGCTTACAATATTCATTTACTAGCACAAATAGAGATTAACAGTTAAGATCTTAGATTCACCAGAGGTAATATCCATGGTACACTGAACACGATTAATCTAGAGAAAACTACTGCGCCATCATTGAGAATAGCTCCCGTAGCGAACTGAAAGCAACACGTAGATCAACCAAAAATCACTTTAATCTATCGACTTAATCAGAACAGTTCACCAGGCGAGTGTTTGGTATCGTTTGCCTCCACTCATCACGTGACCTCCCCCTCGCCGCACAGTTGCCATTTGGTTACTCCCTTAAACTCCACCACCATGGGCGCCATCGTACTGCTCCCGCTCATGCCGGTGACGCTGTTGGCACTGTGCTGCGGCGCCGCCGCCTGTCTGGCCGTGTGTCTGCTGCTAGGCGGCACCTTCAATCTGCTGATTTTGACCCGGGCCACCTACGCCGTAATGCTCCTCGTCAATCTGATCCTCCTGTGGGTGGCGTTGCTGCCGTTTATTGTCCACCGGCTTGAGAAGGCGACGTTCGGCTTTATCAACATTAGCTGCGGCGCTGACGGCGCCCAGTGCATCCTGTTTGCCCTGGTGTACCGAATTAACTGCGCCCTCGGAACGCTCCATTTGGCGCTTGCGGGCTTGCTTGCTGGTGTCCACAGCACTACCAACCCACGGGCAGTACTCCAAAACGGGATGTGGCGAGGTAAAATCCTCGTGTGGCTCGGGTTAATCGCGGTAAACTTCTTACTTATCCCGGACCTGTTTTTCGTGTTTTACGGTAACCACATCGCCATCATCTTTCTGACGATTTTCCTAGGGATAGGTCTCATCTTATTAGTGGATTTTGCCCACGCGTGGGCGGAGACTTGTCTTGAAAAGATCGAAATGGAGGAGCTTACGGGAGAAGGAGACTCGCTGATGTGGAAACGCCTCTTGATTGGCGGCACCCTCACCATGTACGGGGCACTGGTGGTGGTGACGGTGCTCATGTACACGTTCTTTTGCGGTTCCGGATGCCACATGAACCAGACCGCCGTCACCATCAATTTGATCTTAGCGGTGGTGATCCTGCTAATGCTGGTGAACCAGACGATCCAGGAACTGAACCCGCACGCGGGCTTGGCCCAGCTGCTGATGGTGGTGTGCTACTGCACCTATCTAGTGATGCTGGCGGTGGCGCTGGAGCCCGACGATAAGTTCTGTAACCCGTTGGTGCGGTCTCGCGGCACACGGACGGCGTCCATCGTGGTCGGGGCATTGTTTACGTTTTTGGCCGTCGCCTATACGACAACCAGAGCCGCCGCCAACCTGGCCTTCGCCGGGGGTGCCCCGTTAACTGATGATAGTGTTAGTGGCGTGGGTCGCCCCCGGGCTCGCAACGAGATGCGCTATCAGGCGATCAAACAGGCAGTCGACGAAGGGCTGTTACCGGAGCTGGCCCTCCACGAAGTCGATTTGTACACTGACGGCATTGACGAAGGCGACGAAGAATTCACTCGTGTTAAATATAACTACCTGTTGTTCCACGTAATCTTCTTCCTCGCCACCCAGTACGTCGCCACTCTTTTGACCATAAACGTCAAACAGGACGATTTGGGCGACTTTGTCCCCGTGGGACGCACTTATTTTGCTCTGTGGGTGAAGATCTGTCTGCTGTGGGTGTGCTTTGTATTGTACGGGTGGCTGTTGGTGGCGCCGGTGATCTGGCCCGACCGCTTTGGCGTCCAGATGTGAGCACGTGACAGAGATCACGTGACGAGCACGTATCAGGCGCCGGTCGCTACAATGGCTCCATTAGCAAATAGAGTTTAGAATACGCGCGCTGAGTAAGCGCAGCTAATAAAAAAACAACGAGAGGCCAGGGCTACGTAACTGAAAAAAGAAGAAAACCTCGAAATTAAGCAATGGTAAAATCTCACAGAGCCATCATTACTTATTTATTTATAAAACCCGATCTCACAACCCCGCGCCCATAACCCAAATTTGACAACAAATTTCTCCGCTTATCTCCATGGTTTGACAAACAAATGTTCCCCCGAGTCAATCTACGCCACCTCCAAGCGCAATACCCTGACCTCGACATCAGTACTATTGATACCGACCCGGAGACCGCCTACCGAGTGGCCGAGGCCACCCTCGCCCACTATTTCGGCGTTACCGCCCGTCTCAGCCGCGCCCACTTGACTCCCCGCATCCCTGCCCGTCTCCAGTACCTCGCGGCGATCGAGCGCCTCTGCGAGCCCGCCGATGTCGTCCGCGAGCAGTTGCGTATCCCCGAGGGAGCGCTAGTGGACGTGGGCACGGGGGCGGCGGCGATCATGCCCCTTTTACACTGTAAGCGCTACTGGGTGGCCACCGAGTGCAATAAGAGCTCAGTTGACCACGCCGCGGCAATTTTAAAAGCTAATAACCTTCAGGAACAGATCAATCTTCGCCACCAGGCGCTGTGGCCGGCGGTGCCGGTGCGCTACTTAGTGTGTAACCCACCGTTCTACCACGACGAGGGCGATCTTCGCGCGCGCCACCGCGCCAAGCGGGGCGCCAAAATGGGCGCCGCCCTCCCTCTGACTGCTAGCGAGCTCTACTATCCGGGCGGGGAAGTGGCGTTTATCAAGTGGATGATTGATAGTTCGCGGCGCCATAACTCCCACCCGTTTGCCTGGTACTCGTCGCTCGTAGGCATCTACGGCGATATCGGCGCCATCGTCGCCTACCTCAATCAAGTCGGCGCCAGCAATAACGTCGTCATCCCGCTCCGCCTCGGCCCCACCACCCGCTGGGTCGTCGCCTGGGCCTTCCACGATGTGCCGGCGCCGCCAGCGCTTGACACCTCGCCGCCACAGCGTGGGTGGCGCTCGCTTCCGGTGTCGTTGACCACAAAGCCGTACGGCGACTATGTCGTCGCCGCGGCGCCCACCTGGCTCCGCAAGTACCGGCGGGCGCTGGGGGAGCGCCAGCAGCTGATGGCGGGGCTCATCGTCGCTAGAGTCGATAGCGAGGTTCAGGTGGTGGCTAATTATAGTGCCGTCGACACTAATACGATCAGGAATTCGCTCTCATCCATGATTGCTGGTTGCGAGCCCGCGGCAAAACGTCACCGCCGGGCGTAAACACTTCTTTGGCATAATATGTAATGTTATGTTTTTTTTTTCTTTGTGTGCCGCGCTACCATCCCGGGTACTCCTATAATGAGGAGGCTTTTTTTGTCCCTCCTATATTTTCAATTCTAGGTTTTCGTTGACAAAAAGGACGCAGTGCCGCTAATGCCTCATGCCGAGGTGAAGCAATCGTCGAGACCTAGTAGGCGCCAAGCCAAGCAAGTGCCCTCAAAGACTAGTCTTGCCGAGGCTTCCGTATTCGCCCCATGCACTGGCTACCCCCCTTCCCCCCCAAATGTGGCTAGTGAGTCGAGCGTTTTTTAGCCAAGGA